CTACATACCTACCTACGTACATACATTGACATACATTGGCCTAAATTGGCATACATCGGCATACATTGACATACATTGGCATACATCGACATACATGAATCATTGGTAGGTATATGCATAATTACATACATGCATACATNNTGCATACATACATGCATGCATGCAAAAGCATGCATGCAAACATCATATACGCTCACATGTACATGTTACTTATATGTGTATGTACGTTTTGGCTTATACGTATTTTGCATGAACATACTTATCTATCATGGGACGCCCACTTTTGTATAGACATCTTACTTCGTATTGAAGATTTTAAGGACTAATCGTAACTATCGCCAAGTATTCCCTAAACCCGTTGCGATGTGTGTGGGGCGTTTGGGGCATGCCACGCCTCCAGCACAGGTTAGATGCCAACCCAAACCATCCCCTTCACTGGGGATCTGGGAATGCTGCTTGGACGATTGCAGGAAGATCCCAGATCAAGTGCAGCAGTAGCAGTGAGTGCAGTTCTCAGAGGTCGGGGTTTCCGACGGGTTGGATGCAGCTGCACAGTCCTCTTCGCCATGCAGGACCCACAGAGTGTGGTTCCAGCTGACATTCCAGTCCAAGGTCTGTTACTCTAAACTGCCCCAAGGGCTCAAAGGATCCAATACTTGGTTGAGTACCTGGATGTGGCATAGTAGCCCTGAAAGAAACCTTGAAACCTTGCCGTCGCCCACCCCAAAACGCAGAAACCCCTAGGAAACCCACAATCCTCAAACAGCATCACGCTCAAGTCTTGAGCTGCCGATACCCAAGTAGTAATACATATTAGTATTTGGGCTAGTTTAGGACGATCGGTCTTTCGGACTCGAAGGCCAGAACCTAGATCAGCGATCCGAAAACCAGAGAGCCTCCCCCTGCACCCTGAACCCTGAACCAAGGCCAAGTCTCTTCGCGATGATCCGAAAGAACGGGGAGTGGAGCTGCACTCGGAGGTCATCCGCCCCTCGGAAGCTTGTGGTGTTCTGCAGGGTTTAGGGTTTAGGGTGTGCCCGTGGCCTTCGAAGGCATAAGAGGACTTGAGGGACGGGCTTCAGGATGCCTTCCTTCTCATGCAGCTGCAGTCTAGGAGCACAAGAAGTACTGTAGACGTAGTAGTAGTGGTAGTCGTAATTGTAGTTGTAGTGGTAGTCGTCGTCNNGGAGTAGGAGTAGGAGTAGTAGCAGGAGTAGTAGTAGTAGTAGTAGTAGTAGTAGTAGTAATAGTAACAATAGTCTTAGTAGTAGTAGCCGCAGTCGTAGTCGTAGTCGTAGTCGTAGTCGTAGTCGTAGTCGTAGTCGTCGCCGTAGTCGTCGTCGTAGTCGTAGTCGTGGTTGTAGTGGTAGTGGTAGTGGTAGTGGTTGTGTTAGTAGTCGTCGTCGTCGTCGTCGTCGTCGTAGTCATTATGTAGCTGCAGTAATCGGAGGGGAGCAGTAGAAATCGGAGTAGTATTGAGCACGAGCAGTAGCAGTTTCACTTTCAGTATTGCAGAGGCCTTGGAAACCTTCATCTTGCGTGTTGAATCCCGTGTGTGCTTTTGCAACTATGTCCTTCTCATTGCTTTATATGACCCTGTTTGGGTGCATGTGTAGCGACAGGTTGTTTCCGAGGGTGAGTCCTAAACCCTAAACCCTAGAGTTGGGCTCAGGGTTTGGGCCGAATCGTCGGTAGCAGGGGAGAACTGAGCCCTATGAAACCCAGTAGTAAATTACCAGTACTTTTTGGGGGTTCCTTATTATAAATGTAGTATAAAGGAGCCCATGGCTCAAGGGTCTACTGAGGGGGGTTCAAGGTGGAGTGGCCCCAAACGGTTTCCATGCTCTTAGACCCACAGGCAAGTACATCCGGCGAGGCAGAGCACGCAGATAGACCCTCAAGCAAGGGCATAGAGGCGCTTAGAGTCCAGGGTATGTTGCCAGAGGATGCAAAACATCCTAAACCGAAAACCCTAGGAACCTTGCCTGCTGTGTGCGAGTTGCGAGAGTCGAAGCCCTAAGCTTGCCGAAGCACCAGCTCAAGCTGCGCAGATGTCCGTGCGCTCGAGCGTGAACCATCAATCTATGGAAACGGTCGGGGACCCTTTGGGGTTCATGTTCATGAGAATGCTGTCAAGTCTTGTCATTGCTTTCATTTTTCTCACTACTTGCTACGATTCGAGTATTGTGGTGAGTATCATTGTTATCATTATCAGTACTATTATTGTGATTCTGCTTCTTACTTGTATCACTTCTACCTCAATTATGGTGGTGTTTCTTGTGGGAGCAAGCCCTAAACCCTAAACCCTAAACCCTAAGAAAAGGAATCCTTCCAAGCAGAGGCCTTCTTGTCGAGGCAAGGAGGCATCTCCCTAGACTCTAAACCCTAAACCCTAAACCCTAAACCCTAAACCCTAAACCCCTATGCTTAGTCCCTGAGCCCCGGCCTCTGGAGCCTGGGCCATCTCAAAGAACAGCCCAGACGGGTTTACTTGCAGGTTCGTGGGTAGTTATAACTGGGCGAATAAGTCCCCTAATATGGGCTATAACTATAGTTACCGTACTTATAACCCCACATATAGCTACGAATGAACCTCCAAGTAGGATTTGGAGACCACAGCCGTATGTTGGTTCCACTGTCACTAGGGAGGCGGGAGATCGAAGGAGTTGGTGAGTGGAAGACATGTTTTTCAGGGTTTGGGGGTTTAGGCTTAGGGTTTAGGGTTTAGGGTTCTCTCTGTCTGGTGCTTAGTAGGGAATGGGGGAATGGATCCCTATGATAGTCCCTTAAGGTCCCTTATAGTAGTCCCTATAACCCATTCCCCCATTCCCTACTAAGCACCAGACAGACTTTGCATTGTGGAAGTCAGTGTTCAGGCGATTGCACAAGTCCTGATGAAAGAAAATGGGGTTCCCCTCCATCAGTCCGGGAGTGGCTTCGTGTTTTCACAGTAGACACATACCGTGTCTGGCAGGTATGTTTGGGCTTGAGATGCTGAGTGGTTTTTGGTTTGGCTGTGGGGACTTTCCGACGAAGGGGGGTCGAGTTGGTCACAACACGTAATTGTTGAGGGAACCAAACCTGCGTGGAGCAGCTGACAAGAGAAGAGACGGGTGGCCTGCGTACTCTAGTGTAGGGCGTTAATAATTAGAATAGCTTTTGGGGGTTTACTATACTATATTGTTACATAATGACCACCAAACTCGTATCGTTAATTACTCCGGGCTTCTATATTACAGGTGCCTTCCCTGGCCTTCCACTAAACCCTTGTGCTGCCCCTGTCGGGTGTGACAGCTTTCTCGCAAGAGTAGTGATGTTGTGGGTACTCAGTGACTCCTAAACCCTAAATCCTAAACCTTAAACCCTAAACCTTAAATCCTAAACCTTAAACCCTAAACCTCAAACCCTCAACCCGAAACCTTAAACTCTGCACCTTAAACCCTAAACCTTAAGGAAAACTTGAGTCGTCTGTGAGGACCGTGGGGCTGGGCCTCAAGAGCTTTAGTTATCCTAGGCTCAAACACCTCCGAGTCCGGCCTTTTTTTTTCCGGTTTTAGGGTTTGGGGTTTAGGG